GGCACTGGAATAGGTTGCCCAAAGAAGTGGTAAATGCTCCATCCCTGCCAGTGTTCAAGGCGAGGTTGGACAGAGCCTTGGGCAACACGGGTCTAGCGTGAGGTGTCCCTGCCCATAGCAGGGGTTTGGAACTAAATAATCGTAAGGTCCTTTCCAACCCAAACTATTCTATGATTCTATGATTCTAAGGTCACATCTGGGTTTTATTGACAGGTATCTTTGGTGGGTTTGGTAATGAGCCTGACAGTCTGACTCAATAGAGGAAGTGCAGAACTGCAATTTCAATTCCCCTTTTGGTTAATGTAATTTAAACAACTTCTCTCTGGGATTGCCTCAATCCCTTACAATGTACCAAATCATAGCATGTTGTGTTCTTATTAAAATTAGGATGGAGAATGCAACTGTGCCTTCAGCAACAAGCGTGAAATCTTGGAATAATCAGTCAAGAGCTGTGCTGTTATTCATGTGGCTGGCATCTTGCTGGAGCCATTGGAGCATCCAGACTATCAAAAGGCTTATGATGATGTGGAAACGGGCCATTTGGAAGAGGCTGGCTGTCTTCTGTGGGTGCATGAGCCCCTCCAACCAGCTCCTGACACTCTGGGGATTGTCTCCTTGGATAGAGCAGGGCTTGATATTAAACTGTGGAATCATGTCCCAGTGCAGGCAAGTCTGCCAGCAGTCACATCCCTTCTATAGGGCTGGAAAGACCATAACCATAAAAAAAGCCTTTTCTGCTGGAGGTAGGGATCCAGCCAGTTTATTCAGCACAACTTAATAGATTAAGATGAGCTCAGTTCAGTTCCCAAATCGTTTGGCAGGGCTGTAGAAGGCTGTGGATCTAAACAGTGTGAAGGACCACCTATCTCCTGTGGGCACAGGTTACTCTTTTCGAGGGTAACAGCGATCTGGCAGCTGCTTCTCAGAAACCTGAGACCCATGTTCAACACTTCTACTGGCTTTTCAATATCTCTTCCAAATGCTTCTTTCCAGGGCTTCCACAATTGCTGTCAGTGGTTTTTCTTCCTGATTGTTACCAGCTGCTTTTAACTCCTTTATCCTCTGTCTCCTGCCAGCATGAACTGACTTGCTGGACAGGTGGGAGGGAGGATCCAGCACCCAACCCTTGTCACCTGTTAATTGCAGCCTCATTGGCCTCTAAGCCATTCACTTTAGCTGGGCTTCAGATCAGTCTCTTGCCACTAGTTTTTGCTGTCTTAATTAGAGTCTTTTTTCCGCTTTTGTGCCTTCATTCATTACACTGTAGAGCACTGAACATCGGTCTTGTGCATAAACTTTGTTTCCACTTTACTAACCCCGCTCAGGCAAGGGACATGCTCTTGTCATCCTGCCTTTGGTCTCAGCCTCATCTACCTTGGCAGGATCTTCTGATTGCTGCAAGAATGGAGCTGTCTTTGATTTCTTTTCAAAGCTACCTTGTAGGGCCTGTGCTCTGCTGCCATCTGGACCACTACCTTTGATGACTGTGTTGTATGTCTGTTTAATCAATAAACCAAGACCTGCTGACCTGGATGTAGCAGCCTCACATCCCCATATATCTCTGATAATTTCTGCAGTAATGGAGCATCCCTCTGCTAAGCAATACTCTCTTTGCACATATCCCTGTGCTTCAGGTTCACTCTTGGATAATAATACCAGGCAAGTGGCTTCACTCCATGGATTGCCTAAAGTTTGCCTCTTCCTGCAGATGTGAGCAGGAATTATTTGAATGTTTGATCATTGTAGCAGTCCTTGCAGGGATTCTGCTAGGTAGGTGCAAAATCTGCAAAGAAATACGTTTCCATTATGTGAAAGCTATCTTTGTTTAATTATACTTGGTTTTCTTCTACCATCGTTTCCGATTAGGGTTGGCACTGCCTTCTCTGACCAGTATAGCATGCTTAAATAACCTCTAAACTAAATCCCAAGATCAGCTCCTTTGTTGCTGGCATTATTGCCTTTCTCACTGCCAGTTCATTTTTAGAAGTATTTCAGGCCACGATTTGATCTGTCCCTGAAGATTATTTATCATGGAATAGCAGCATTGACTGGTGTATTTGGAAGAATAGAAGCTCGTAAGTGGTTATGGATTGAATGATTGTTATGTTTGTTTTTAAAGCACAGTAGCTTTTAGTATCTAAAATGTCGATGCTGTCAGCTTGGGGCCTTATCCCACACATCGTGCTCTTGTGTGACAGTTTCAGTCTTTTAAAGTCAAGGAATCAGATGTCTGCGCAGGTACAGAAGAAAGTGTTGAAAGGATCCAGCTGCAAGAGTCTGGAGATGCCATCAGCACTGCAGTTCAGGCACAGCCCTAACAAGTTGTGGGTTAGCTCCAGGCATGGCCTGGAGGGGTGACTGCAGAGGTGGTGAAAGCTGCATGATCAGATAATGTTTCTGAGAAGGCAGGTAAATAGTTTGGTGATTAGGAGCTCTGGGCTTGGGATGCTGCCTGGGGTGCTTGGCTGAAGCCAATCGGGAACAACTGGAGCCACTGAACTGTGTGCTGCTGCACAGCCACGCACCCTCTCTTCAGGGTGAAGGTGAGCAGTGGGCAGCCCAGAGTCCCTCACAGGATTATCTGCAAGGGCAGGGAAAGTCCCCTATTGAAATGTACTCTGTGTTTCAGCAATAAAAAGACCCTGAAACTCAATCCTTCAAGGCAAGGCTGTCCCTTGGCCAGCCAGGTTGGGTGAAGGAGTGCTGCTGTCCCTGTCACCTTTCCCAGTTTAGGAATATAATACTTCAAAATCCCTTATACAGCTCTTTTCTCCATGCTTCACCATGTGGTATAAGTAATTCCTGCTCATTTCTAAAGGAAGGGCTCAGGTCTATGCTTTGGAAGGAAATAATTTTTAAGGTGAAAATTCTATTTTCTAAGTGAGAGACTTGGCCAAAATCATCTTTGATTGGGCACAATAAAATTGCCAATCCAGGAGGCTTAGTGCTTGAGAAGGAAGGTCACAAACTTCGTGCCTAAAATACTACATTTTAATGCTGACAAAAGCAGAAGTGAGGTTCATTATTTTGTTTTATGTATTCATAGCTCAGATGAATCCAAAATTTTTAAAAGTACTATTACCTGACCAGATGTTTATGACACGGAAATCTGAAAATGCATGTGGCAGCTTCAGCCTAACTCAAACCCTGCCTGACTTTGCGGTAAGGGAGATCCTTCCAGGTCGAGCCACAGGTGCATAGCAGTTACCTGTCTCAAAATAAACAGCAGTTTCTTATGACCATTTTTGGTCTCTGAGCAGGGAGGTACAAAATGCTTGAGAATAATTTCAATGGTCCTGTGGTACATTCCAAAAAGCATCATGCTGATCTGTCTATAGCCCTTAGTACGTCTGATGTTTGGATATGGAAAGAACTGAGGTTTCATTCCTCTCCCCCAGGAAATCTCATTGTCAATAATAATGAAAGTAAACTTTTTTTGAATTTAAATAAAGCAGAGAATTGTGGATGATATTCGTACAGTTACAAGTTGTATATTCTGCATCTTTATTGTTATGGTTCCCTTGGTTATTCATATCAGAGATATGCATTACTCCATGGTATAGATTTGATCTGGATCAAATATTGCCACACAACTGCATTTCTGTTGAATTACCCAGGGAACAAGCAATATACTATTTATGGCCACTTCATCTCATATGCTAGCTGTAGAAGGACAGATGTGCAATGCTGCGTCTAGCTTTCTTGCATAAAAATAATCCACTGAATCATAGAATGGTTTGGGTTGGAAAGGACCTTAAGATCATCTAGTTCCACCCCCCCTGCCATGAGCAGGGACACCTCGCACTAAACCATGTCACCCAAGATTCCATCCACCCTGGCCTTGAACACCACCAGGGATGGAGCATTCACAACTTCCTTGGGCAACCCATTCCAGTGCCTCACCAGCCTCGCAGTAAAGAACTTCTTCCTTCTATCTAATCTAAACTATTGAAGGATTTTTAAAAGTTCAAGCTGACCAGGATGTGCTTGTACCAAACCAGCTTTGTGTTACTCAGAACAGAAAGGCCTAGCTGCTGCATTAGTAAGACAAAGCCTAAAATAATCTCAGTCCGGAAGGCTGCAGTTATGCTGAAGGCTCTTGGACTTCCTTGACCTGGGGCGATGCAGGTGCCCTGGGCTGTTTCAAGCTCTCCTGAGGTCCCTCTCTGCACCGTGTCTCCTTGGGCATGCTGGAGCACAGTATATAGTACTGTTCTAATTACACAGACTGGAGGAGTTTTCTCCCACCGAGGGACAGGACTGTGAAAATCTGTTTATGGGGACTTTAGCACTAAAGAAGTCATAGAATCATAAACTCATTTAGGTTGGAAAAGACTGTTAAGATCGTTGAGTCCAACTGTAAACCTAGCACTGCCAAGTCCACCAGTAAACGATGTCCCTAAGCACCACATCTACACATCTTTTAAATGTACACCAGGGATGATGACTACACCACATCCCTGGGCAGCCTGTTCCAATGCTTGACAACCCTTTTGGTGAAGAAATTTTTTCTAATATCCAATCCAAACCTCCCCAGGCGCAACTTGAGGCTGTTTCAGTGTGGGGACGAATAATCTGATCCTTGGTTCAGGAAGTTATGTCCTGATGTGAAATTATTTTTCCTGAAATTAGTCTTTCCATATCCCAGATTTTGCACATTCTTTCATTTTCTCCATAGGCATTTGCTGGCTTTATCCAGTCTACCATAAATAGTATACAGTTGCAACATTTGAAGTTTATGTGCTGTGGCTTATGTTAATATCCAGAAAAAAACTATTAAGGCCAGAAAGAGAGGCACATTTTTGTTATTGTGATGAAGTCAATTTTCTGAGCCTATAAAATGCCCATCAATACACTGCATTTTCAGTTTCCAGTCCCAGTTCTAAATTGTTCCTGTTACTTGCACTGAATACTGTGTCAATGTGCAGCTTAGATACTAGTACTGTGCCCAGATCAAAACAGTCCTTTAGAAATGTGTGCATTTGTATTTCCACACAGATCATGGATTTCTACGGGAAGTATGCGGCTGTCACTTTGACCATTTTATCTGTTTTTCTGCATCTTCTTCATGCTTTCCCAGATGGGGAGTTTCTCATGCAGGGTAAGCTGCTTTCAGCATTCAGAAACAGGACAATTATTTGTAAAGAGTATTAATTAAACTTTCACATGTTTTATAAATGTGGTCGTAAATCTTAACATTCAGTTGCATTTACTGACACTGAGATATGAAGGGATAATAAATCAAGATAATTTTGCTATGAGTATACTTGCTGTTTCTTCTCTAAACTTGATTTCTCCAGGTCAGGACCCTCCCAGATCTGTGTCCTCTTGTTGAAGTGGGTAATCTTAATCCTCAAAACATTATAGAATAGAAACATTTTGAGATTTTTGTATTCCTGAGATCTAAATGGTAACATAACATCAGGTACAGCAGAACCATAGCTTCTCCTCATAATATGCAGAGTATTTTCCCTCTGTACAGCCCAAAATATGGGATGTTGGTGGTGCAGCATTTTACGGTAGAGGTATATTAGGAAGTTTTTAGAGGTGTTTTGGAGGATGCAGGGGTTTTTATTCAGCCTTAAACTGAATATAGAAAAATGCAAGCTATAAAAATCTTGGGATCACTGGGCATTTTTAAAACACTTGATAACAGAGGCTTGCCTAAAGACGATATCTAAGAAGCACTACAAGTCCTGCTAGTGCTATTTAGTTATCTATAGCTAGTAGGAAGTTTTCTAGGGACAGCTAGTGCAGTAGACATGTAAAAAACCCCTCCAAAACTGTCCACAAAATTGAAAAGACAACCAGAAAAGATACAGTAATGCTCGTGCCTTACCTAGAAAGCCTCAGTCTAGTTTTACAGCTGGTGTGTGTTGCAGAATTAAAAGACCCTAAAGAGAGGAGCTTTGGTGTCTGTGCTTCTTTGTTATGCATGCATTAAGCAGCAGAACATGCCTGTGTGTCCTCTTACTGCCTGCTCTTTCCC